CTGATGATCGTCTTCCAAAGCAACTCCTCTATTCCAAACTTAAAAACGGAAAGTGTAATGTCAACAAAAGAGGTTCAAAGACTCTCTCAAGGCATATCTGAAAAAATGTAGTATAAACACCGACAACTGGGAATCACTGGCCTGTGAGTGCTCCAATTGGAGAACAGCCTTGACCAAAGGTGTCATGGGCTTTGAAGACACTGTAACTCAGGTCGAAGGGGAGAAACATGTTAAGAGGAAGGCACGCTTGGCAAAGCCTCACCATGATCTACTCTCATCCAGAAACCTCTGTCCCCACTGTGGAAGGACGTGTGGATCCAGAATTGGCCTCCACAGTCACTTACGGACTCACTGTTAAGACCGTGCTCATGGAAGACCATCTTACTCAGCTACGAGGGATGGCCAGAGAAGAAGACAGCCGGCTCTTCTCACGTTCTTATGTCCATCCTACTCCAGGGTGCCAAATGTTGATTCCACCAGTACCAGGAAAGGGGTGCAGTATCTGAGTCCCAGGTGGAATGGGGGGGTGCAGGAGGGCTGCACCGAGTCCTAGCAGTTGGGCCCTCTCTGCCTCAGTCGCCCCACTCCCTCCCCATAAATGGGAGAGGAGCCAGCAAGGATGCAGACAGACTTTCCCTGCCAAGAATAGCTCCAACGACGGAAGACGGGGCTTCTTCCTTCGCCAGATCTCTGCTTCCTTCTCCGCCTCTGGCCCAGCCAGGCCCAGACGAGTTGGCCAGGGAACTGCTGAGTTAGCCTCTTGCCTCCAGCCGGAATCGCAGCCCAGCCCCTGGGAGGAAGCGGCCGGCTGGAGCCTCGGTCCTCCTCTGCCTTCCTCCTCCTCCTCCTCCTCCTGGGCTGGCAAGTCGCTGCCATGTGCAAAAGTGGCAACTTGTGTCAAAAGGCAGCTGTGGTTTGGCCCAAGCAGCGGTTTGGCCACATGCACCCATGCAGACGGTATTGCGGGTCTCTGAACTTCGAAGTACAGAGATAAGAGCGTAAGAAGGGGCTGCTGGGTCAGGCCAAAGGGGGCCAGTCTAGCCCAGCATCCTGTTCTCACAGGGGCCAAGCAGATGCTCCTTCTGGGAAACCTGGAACCAGGAGTCAAGCACAGCCACAACCATAATATGTTGTTGTTATTATTATTATTTATACCCCGCCCATCTGGCTGGGTTTCCCCAGCTACTCTGGGAGGCTCCCCACAGAATATCAAAAGCACGATAAAACATCAAACATTAAAAACTTCCCTAAACAGGGCTGCCTTCTAAAAGCCGGATAGTTGTTTATTTCCTTGACATCTGATGGGAGGGCATTCCACAGGGTGGGCACCACCACCGAGAAGGCCCTCTGCCTGGTTCCCTGTAACTTGGCTTCTTGCATCATGGGAACTGCCAGAAGGCCCTCAGCGCTGGACCTCAGCGTCCGGGCAGAATGATGGGGGTGGAGACGCTCCTTCAGGTCTACTGGGCCGAGGCCATTTGGGGCTTTCAAGGTCATCACCAACACTTTGAATTGTGCTTGGAAATGTAAAATGTAAAGGGTAAAGGGATCCCTGACCATTAGATCCAGTCGTGGCCGACTCTGGGGTTGTGGCGCTCATCTTGTTTTATTGGCCGAGGGAGCCGGCGTACAGCTTCCAGATCATGTGGCCAGCATGACTAAGCCGCTTCTGGCGAACCAGAGCAACGCACAGAAACGCTGTTTACCTTCCCGCCGGAGTGGTACCTATTTATCTACTTGCACTTTGACGTGCCTCCAAACTGCTAGGTGGGCAGGAGCAGGGACAGAGCAACGGGAGCTCACCCCGTCGCGGGGATTCGAACCGTCGACCTTCTGATCGGCAAGCCCTGGGCTCTGTGGTTTAACCCACAGCGCCACCTGCAATGTAGGTCTTTCAGGACTGGTGTTACGTGGTCACAGGGATTCAGAAGCACCACTGCCTCTGACTGTGGAGGCAGAACCTTCTCCTCGCCATGAATGTAATTTAACCCTTTTTTAAAGCCATCCAAGTCAGTGGCCATCACTGCTTCCTGCATAAATGAGTCCCATCGATTAACTCTGCATTACATGAAGGGCTTTCTTTCCTGTTGTTACATGCGCTGGTGGGAATGGGGTGGTGAGTCCTGGCAACTGAATTCTCTGCCCTCTTATCTATCGTTCTTCCTTACCTTTCTCTTGGTCCAGATTGTGAGAAAGACCTTGGACCACTGCTCAACTCAAGAGGGGAGTTCTGAGCTCTTTCCCTTTCTCTTAACCCTCCAACCAGCCGCACCAACTGACAGCCCGAAAATAAGATGGAGAGGACCGGCTTAAAAACCCACCTCTCTGCAAACGGGTGTCCTATTGAAAGCAAGGGGTTGGAGTTCTTTTTCGTACTACTAGCTAGTTGCCCCAATTAGGAGCCTGAAAATAAGACGGAGAGGACCGGCTTAAAAACCCACCTCTCTGCAAACGGGTGTCCTATTGAAAGCAAGGGGCTGGAGGGACTGTCTTGCTACTCTATCCAGGGGTCGCCTGAGCTGGCACTGCACTGCGCGGGTGTCCAGTAGGGTCCCTTTCTTGAGGTTGCAACGATAGGTAGGAGGTTGCCAGGAGGGATAGCCTAGCAGGAGCTAGGGGGACACGGCAGAGTGGAAAGGAAGCACCCGCGGAATACAGAATAGGGAAGGGCGAGTCTGGGGAGGAAGCCAGATAGCTCAGGACTGGGGCCAACCCTGTGAAAGGTCAGTCCATGGAAAAGGCGCCAGACGAGGGGTTGGGACTTGTGGATAGTTTTCAGGATCCTTGTAATTTGCTTTTCCTGTAAGTTTTCATTATCCTAGGCAGCTGCCGAAAGTGGGCCCTAAAAAGCAAGGTGTTCTGAATCTTCCCCTGCTCACCTTCCTTGGACGCCCAGGAGTTCTGGTGCGAGTGTGACATTGGATGCCTGGTGTGAGGCATCATCTGCCCCCCTCCCTGTAACCAGCACCCCCCCCATCACCTCGTGCTGTGTCTTCTCTCTCTGCGATAGAGTCCACGTTGCTCTGGGCTGTGGATGCTGAAGCCCAGGCAGGATGCGTCCCGTCCCCCCCGCCAGCCCTGCCCTATTCCCAGGTCCTTGGGCAGGGGCTGCCCCCCCTCCAGGCCATCTCAGGCCTTCTCTGCAGTCTGGACATGAAGGAACAATGGGCAGGGGCCGAGGGGGTGGTGCTGTGCCAACATTCGTGACTGGCGGCATCCTGGAAGCGGGCAGGAAGCCCAACACTTGGCGCTTCCCGTCCTCACAGTGCCTGGCTCCCCTGAGAGGGCTGGGAAAGTGGGGAGCGCCGCGGAATGATTCACGGACGGAGCCCCCCCTCACTGGAAATGGAGAGCCAGCCGCTTGAAGCTGACACAGCCCTCAAGCAGGACCTCTGCCCTAAGACAAGGCTGGCCGCAGTTACTCCCTCTTAAAGAAGCAGCATTCTGCACATGCTCAGGAACAGCCGGACTTATTTTGCCAGGTGTCCAGGACGGAGGTCACAGGTGCCTGGGCCAAGTCAGGTGGCATTAAGAACATCAGTGCCGCTGGATCAGGCCAATGCCCCTTCCAGGCCAGCATCCTGTTCTCATGAGGTCATCCGGATGCCCCGATGGGAAGAAGCCCACAAGCAGGATTCGCACACAGGTGCAACATTTCCCCGCCAGCAACTGGTATTCAGAAGCAGCCTCTGGCGGTGGAGGGAGGACAGAGCCATCCTGCCTGGGGGCCTCTGATAGCCCTCTCCTCCTCCCTGAACTTGCCAAACCCTCTTTTCAAGCAATCTAGCTTGGTGGCCATCGCTGCCTCCAGTGGGAGGGAGTTCCTCAGTTCAACTCTGCGCTGTGTAGAGGCGGCCTTTCTGTGTTGCACTGACAGGTAAGGAATCCTGAGCCTTAAGGCCCAGCCTGGCTAGCCCAGTGTGGATGCTGGACCCACCCACCCCGGCTCACGGAGGCCCCTTAGACTTGGCTCCCTCTCCCTGCGCAGCCAGCCATGCCTGGGCCCGGACCGAGTCAGGCAAGTTGACAGGCTGCCCTCCCCTGGGCGTGTGTGTGTGTCTGTGCGAGCGGATCTGGCTGTGCAGTCGTTGAATGCCAATCGGGCACCAGCGGTTGCAAAATTGCCTTTGGATTTTTCTCATTAGCTTCGTCTCCCGTGAGCTCGTTATGCGGGAGCCTCTCTTCTGCCTGCGCTGACAGCTCATTCCCGCTCTGACAGCCATATGGCAGGAGCAGCGCTCTGGGGGGGGAGGGGGGAGCGGTGCAAGGAGGGGGGGCACAATTGGCGTCAAAGCAGGAAGTGCAGCAAAAGTGCCCTGGAGCACCTGCAGAGAGCCTTTTCCGCCTCACCTGGGAGGAGCCAGCGGAGTCCAGCCAGCGGCATACAAATCTCCAGGGCACCCAGCCAAGGCGGCAGCTGCCCCAAGGCAGGGGACAGAAATCTCCCCCCCCCCCAGAGAAAAAGCCAGCAAGAGATGGTACCTTGCATCTCAAACACCTGGGAAGCAAACCTGGAAGTAAGTGTTCCGGTTTGCGAACTTTTTTTCAGAAGCCGAACATGCTCCGTTTTGAGTGTTACGCTTCCAATTTGAGGGACGCACTTCCATTTTGAGCAACCTTTTTCAGCAGGGGGCCGGTCCACCATCCCATAGACCATGTGGGGAGCCGGATTATATTTTGGAAAAAAAAAAAATGAACGAATTCCTATGCCCCACAAATAACTCAGAGATGCATTTTAAATAAAAGCACACATTCTACTCATGTAAAAACACCAGGCAGGCCCCACAAATAACCCAGAGATGTGTTTTTAAATAAAAGGACACATTCTACTCATGTAAAAACACGCCGATTCCTGGCCTGTCCGCGGGCCGAATTTAGAAGGCGATTGGGCCGCATCTGGCCCACGGGCCTTAGGTTGCCTACCCGTTTTTGAGTGTTGCACCGAGGTCTGTCTGTTTTTGCTATTTTGTGTTCGTTTTTGCGGCTCTTTTTTTGTTTTTGTGACTGTGTCACAGTTCAGCTACTGATTGATTGTGGGACCGCAGTGCATTGTTGATTGCTTTCATTTTTTGGATCAATGATCTCGTTAAATAGTCAAATTCATGTTAAATTGCTGCTTTAGGGGTTATTTTTAAAAGTCTGGAACGGATTAATCTGTTTTGCATTACTTTCTATGGGAAAGCGCACCTTGGTTTTGGAACGCTTTGGTTTTGGAACAGATTTCCGGAACGGATTAAGTTTGAGAACCAAGGTACCACTGTACTTAGAGCCTGTCCTTCACACAAGCTGGGAGTCAAGGACCCTCTGATGCCATGAGAGATGCCTGGGGGCTGGAGGGCCTGTCCTGGCTGCCCCCCTTGCTGAACCTTTGCCTTCCAGAGGCGAACCCTCCTCAGTCCCCTTGGCTGGGACAGAGGAAGCTGCCTCCGAACTAGCGGACCCTTGGGAAACTCTGCAATTCTCTTATCCTAGGCTGGCCCCCTTGCGCATCTAGTCTGGGACAGCTCCAGGCGGCTGCGGCTGGGGAAGGGGCCTCGGGGCTTATGCGTGCAGAGCCTCTGGTGCTCTGGCCCTTGCACACTCCCAGCCTTCTTGTGGCAGTGAGTTCCAGAGTCCCAGCCTCCCACTGAGCCGAGTCTTGTCTAGGTGGCACTCGGAGGCAGCCTGGTGATCCGGGAAGAAGCAGCAGGTCTGGTGGGTGGTTAGAGGGGAGGCTGCGCACCAGACACTGACTGTGCGTGTGTTGCAGACAGTCCAGGGGCCTCTTCCTCACGGCCAGCCCAACCCACTTTGCTGCAACTCAGGAACTTGAGCTCCCCCCCTCCCCCCCCATTAACTGCTTGCAGGGGAGGGGGAGGGGGGCTCAGGTTTCCCCCTCCCTGCAGTTTGGAGCCTGCGGCCATTAGCAGTGCCCAGAGCATGACCAGGGAGGGGGTGATATCAAAGCGCTTCCACGCTCTCTTGTCTCCCCCACCATCCCTCCCTCCATTAGTCATGTTCCATAAAAGCTGCTTTCTCCTGGAGAGTAAAAGGTCTCAGGGAAGAATTCTCAACCGTGCTGGGAATGAAAAGCGGGGGCACTCCTGGGCACGTGCAGAGTGCATTTCCCTCACAGAGCAATAAAAGCAATGGCAACAAAGGGTGTGTGTGTCAAAATTCAACATGGGCTTGGAGGGTCCCTCCGACCACCTTAAAGAACCTGGATGAATTCTCATGGGAAGCTGCTTCTTGCTTCCTTAATGTCAGCCGGGCAACCCTTTCCCCTACTCCTAAGAAAGGCCAAGTTGGCAGCTGAGATGACAGATCTGGTTTCTGGACTCTTGGAGGGGCTTTGGGAAGAGGACCTCTTCCCCACCTCCATCCCTCCCCTTCTTGGCTCTCCACCTCATCAAGGAAATGGGCGCAGCAAAAGCAAAAGTTTGGAACTCGCTGCCACCAAGTTGGACGGCTTCAAGAGAGAACTGGACAAATTCATGGAGGAGACTCATAAGTTTCTAGCCAGGACGGCTCTGCTCTGCCGCCAGAGTCAGAGGCAGCAGGAAACCTGTTGCTGGAAACCCCAGGAGGAGACTGCTGGCTGCTTGTTCTGGGCATCTGGCCTAGATGGGCCATGGGCCTGATCCAGCCGCCAGGCCCTTCTGATGTTCTTCGTTTCTCCACTCAGATGTGGAGCACCCCAATAGTTGGTGTAAACAATGGAGGGGGGCGGCGAAGAGAAACTCTGGAAGCCGCTCAAGGGCTGACAAAACCCCCCAGGCCTGTCCCAAAGGCTTAACATCTGGAGAATTTTTCTTTTTTGGAGCGGCTGTTTCGCAATGTCTGTAAAATGGGCACAATGAGGCAGCAGTAGCCTCCCCTTTCAAGGACCCTGCTGCCTTTGCAAGTTCTCTCAGCGCCAGCTCATTTTGAGTCGTGGGGATTAGCAAGGGGCAGCTGAGCCCATCCTTGCAAGTACTTAGCGCTGGCCCTCGGTCCTGCAGCCTGATGGTTTTGATCCCTGACCCTCCGACCTGCGTTTCACCAGGTACTTAGCAAGGCCCGGGTCTTCCAAACAGGGGTAGGGGGCGGCGTGACCCCGGCCCATCTCCCTGACGCTGCCAGCGCTGCTGCCACACTGTGAGAAATCACCAACAGCTGGTCTTGGTGGGAAGGGCCAGCCCAGGGTAACCGGATCTCCCCTCTCCCTCCCCGGTTTGGGGCGGGGGCTCAGGGTCAGCAGCAGCAGCCCTCGCTCAGGGGTTAAGCGCAGGGCAAGAGGAGGGTTAACTACCAGCCAGTGCCCTGTAAATCATTTCACTTGGGGAGGAAACAGCCAGACAAAGCCAAGGCGAGGAGAGACCCAGGAGGCGAAGGTGGCAAAGGCAGAACTCCAGAAGGGGCAGGTTTAGCCTGGAGAAGATGAACTCTACAGCTCTAGGTGGGCCTGGGGGGGCGGAGAAGTGGACCTGCCCCCCAAAGGCAGGAGAGCAAGCTGGTGGCATGGAGCTGGAGGAGAACCAAGGGACTTTCGGAAAGTGGAAGGAGGGGCAAACTCAAACTCCTTCATCGTTGTCCTTCACCGTGACCTGCTGCCAGGCGGTGCCCTGCTTCTCCTAGCATCCCCTGCAGACGCCAGAATGGATCAGGCCCACAGCACAAGCCAAGCCTTACTTGGGAGACGCCACCCCTGTGCGTTTGGTTTGCAAAGGGGAGCCCAGAACCAGAGGACAGCTGTTCGGACTCCTCTCTCAATATAAAAGGGTTTATTCAGTTAAACCTGCTAAGCTGTCAAAAAGGGAGAGAGGCGCCAAAGGGTTTCGCAAGGTCAAGGCTGGATCCAGAGGCCGTTCGGCACTTTCGGGTGACAGCAGAGAAGGGGCACGCAAAATCTGCAGGTGACAGAAAGCGGGCATGGGCTGCAAAACATTTTGCTGGGCTGGGCAGACAGCTGCAGAATGGAGTTTGGCAAGGACCAACACCAGGTGGGACCTGCGGGAGAATGGAAAACCTCGTGATGGTGTCGGGAAGGAAGATATTTATGGGTACGCAATAAATTGGCCATGGGGACACCTCCGCAGGCGCTCTGGGGCTTCAGAAAGGAGAGTTGCTTGTCTCAGCACAGGGAAAGGCATCGAGTGTGGGCCGTGTGGCGCTGTGGGCAACCTGAGCTGGGCTGACACTAAATCAGCAAAGATGGTGGCAGGCTGAAAAAGCCCCGGAGATGGAAACAAGAAATTCCAACGAAAGAAGAATGGCAGACGAAATTAATGGACTCTGCAGAATTGGACAAAATGACAGGAAGGATTCGAAACCTGCAGGACCAGAGATTCACAGAAGATAGGAAGAAGTATATAGATTATTTGAAGAGCATCTGTAATCAACAAATTACGCTAGTAGGACAAAAAGAAGTTTTGTAAGGAGAAATATACGAAGTGTTACAAAGCAGGAAAAGATAGAGATATTGGTTATGAGTTTGAAATGTAATAGGGAAAATAAGAAATGCATACTAAGAGACTAGATTGGAAAATTTTCAGACAGGATTGATGGAAGCCCAAAAAATTGAATAAGATGTAAAAGTATGTTTAATTACTGTTGAAAATGATATGTTAAAAAACTAACAAAAATTTATATATATGAAAAAGCCCTGGAGAACAGCAGGAAGGACCCCCAGGAAAGACGTGGGGCAGAAAAAGGCAGCAGCCACTGAAGCCAAAAGGGGTCTCATCTGCCAAGACTCCAGTGCCACAGAACTGCAGAGTGGGAAGGGACCCCATGGTCATCTAGTCCAACCCCCAGAATTGCAGGAATCACAACAAAAGGATCCCGGTGAGCCAGTGGAGAAGGCATGGGAAGTGGAAATGGGGAGGGGGCTGCAAGCTGGCCGGGCTTGGCTCCGTGGGATGGAGGCCTCCTGAATAAAAGAACTGGCCATCTGAAGCAGTTGGCCTACGGAACTCCCTCCCACAGGAGGCAGGGCTGGCTTTAGAAGAAGATGAAACACCTTTATGTGGGACAGGGCTGTCCAAAGCTTCTGGGCACGATGGCTCTGCCTGGTCTCCACATCTGGAGGCAGCGATGCTTCTGAACAGCAGGTGCCAGAAACCACAGGAGGGGAGAGGGACCAGGTCTGATCTGCCGCCCCAAGAGCCGGATGGAGCTTAGATCCCAAAGGCTCCCAAATTCAAGGCTGGAGGAGAAGAACCACCACGTCCGGCAGGAATCCTGCCCCCCAGGACTGTGCAATCCCTGAGAAGGGAGGTGGAGCCCCCAGGAGAGGGTGGGCTCTGCCACTGTCCATTCAAGGCCCCCCTGGACCACAGAGATGGCCAAGACAGGCGCTGAAGGCTGGAGCCTGAACCCCGGAGACCTCGCTCCTCCGCCTCAAATCTTTCTCTTCCCACCATAACTGGAAAACGACTCCCGCCAGGGGAAGGGCAGCGTGGCACAGCGGTTTGTGTTGGGCTAGGACCCAGAAGGGTCCCGGGTTCAAATCCTCCCTCGGCCACGAAGCTCACTGGCTGTGCCCTTGGGGGCCAGTCCCTGCTGCCTCGGCCCGGCCCCCCTCGCAGAATGGCTGTGGGGATTAAAAGGGGAGAGCCCTGGGAGGGAAGGCTGGGATATAAACGCAATGAGTAAATGAAGGGGGAAAGGCTTACTCCAGAGGAAGACATCTCCAAAAATGCTGCAGGGCCAAGAGGAATTGGCGATGGAGTCGGCAAGGAGGGAGGGGATGGAGCCCCCCCACTCTGAGGGCCGGCTCCAGCTGTGGGCATGAGGCCAGAGCTCAGGGGCACCTGTTACGTTTCCAGGAATCAAAGTGGGCAGGCGGGGGGGGGGGGGCTGGTTCACAGCCCAGGCTGCATGTGGACAAACGGCCCCCTCCCCCGAAATCCCAAGGACTCCAGGCAGGGATCTTGCTACACGCCCTCCCCCCTCCTGTTTTCTGACAGCTGCCCAGATGGCCACCCCCATTGGCCGCAACAGCAGCTCCTAATTGGCTGCGAGCCAGGGGGGTGCCCGTCTCCCCCCCCCAAGCAATCAGGAGCTCATGACTGCATTATCGCCCATTATCTCTGGTGGAGGGAGAAGGGGGGGGCTGGAATGAGGATCATTATTTGCTCATCACTCCTCATTGGAATTCTGACACCCAAAATGGGGGGGCGGAGAGAAGGGGGGGGTGACGGAGATTAATCTCCCCAGCCAGCGCAGCAACTGCCGCTTGGTAAACGCGGCGGCGCATTAAATCACTGCACAGGAATGGGGAGGGGGGTGGGCTGGGCTCCCTCCTCCCTTCCTGCAGGGATTCCAACCTCAAGCCCCCCCCCAAAGGCTGAAAACGGGAGCGTCGCTGCCACCCGCTGGCCGATCTGAGAACTGCCACTTCTCTGAGTGGCGCTAGGAGACCCCCCCCTTCCTGCCCAATTCCCACTGTTTGGGGGGGCAGATGAGGACAACATGAGAATATTATTTCCTGCTCTCCTAGGAAAACACTGCTCAGCTCTGGCAGCAGGGACCAACGGGGCGTGCGGTTTTTCAGCGCTTTTATTCCAAAAAATAGACTCGTATTGAAGAGAAGGCAGGGCTTAAGTTAAGGGGCGGGAGGGAGGGCAGCGGGGGGGATGGGGGGGCGGGGCTGGGGCTGCAGCCCGTCCCACGGCCCCCCTACCTCCTCTTCTCCTTCACGCTGTAGTTGAGCAGCAGAGGCGCCGGCTGCAAAGGGAAGAGAGGGGAGGAGGGTGAGTGTCTCTGATTTTCCGGGGAGAGGGGGGTCACCCCCCACAACCCACCCCCCACGTACCTTGCCAAACCAGCGAGAAAGCCAGAGCTGCTTGAGGGTCATGTGGTCGGGGAGCACCTCGTTGTTGAAGAGGATCTGCACCTGGAGGGGGCGGAGTCCCGTCAGCACCTGCCAGGTGGGACCCCCGGCTGCCTCCCCACACCTGGGCAGGGGCCTCACCTTCCCGTTTCCTTGCAGGGAGACCACCTGCCCACCCACCCACCCACCCCGGGGCTGCCAACCTTTTTCGCATTTCAGATTTTGAGAGGGGGCAGTCACAAAACAGCTGCCATGGGGGGGGGGTTGCAGAGATCAGGCAATGCTCATTTTAGAATCTTGGGGTTCCAGAGCTGAAAGGGACCCAAAGGGTCATCCATCCCAAGCCCCAGCCATGTATCCCGCCCCCCCGGCTGCTGCTTCCTAACAGCCACAGGGAGCAATTCCTCCGTGTTCGGGGAGGGGAGTGCAAGGGGGTCACACCCCACATCTCACATAAATCACTTAGGGGGTTCCTGAGCCTTTAGCCCAATAACTGTCTTCCAAGGAAGATGAGATGTTCACCGTTTTTTGGTGGTCCTGTAGAAAAGGAAAAGACTTCTGGGAAATGATATATAATGTATTGAAAAAGAGGTTTAAGATACCTTCCCCCCCAAAAAACCAGAGGCCTTTTTTACTTGGATTAACAGGGGAGGGAAGACCTAGGGACCTAAAAAGCTTATTTCTGCATGTGACAACAGCCGCAAGGATTTTGCTGGCCCAGAATTGGAAACAGGAGAAGAGATCAACAAAAGAAGAATGGAAAATTAAGAGGAGGGACTATGCTGAAATGGGAAAGATGAAAGCGAAGATCAGAGATCAGGTTGAGAAAAAGTTGGAGTAGGAATGGAAGGGATTTATAGATTATTTAAAACACCGCTGTAAATATATTAAAACATTAGCGGGCTTGATGTAACATTTATGTAAGCAAATAATTGGAAATTAAGATAAACAAGAGGGAAAAACAAAGAATTTGGAGAAAAAATGAGGTGCAATAAATTTTGTAATCCAGGGGAGGGGTGGAAGGAAGTTATATTGTTCATTGTTTTTTGTGATTGATTGGAAAAACATTGAATTTATGAATTATTGTGATTATAAAATTTGAAAATAAAATATTTTTTTTTAAAAAGAGAGAGGTTGGCCATTTTTTTGGGGGGGGGTGAAGCTCAGCGTTGGAGCCCCTGCCCAGGATCAGCAACAAAGGTCTTTGCAGCCTGCAGAAGTGAGACCGGCAACCCCACCCCAACCCTTACTCACGTGTTGTAGCGCCAGCTCTAATCGGCAGCACAGAACCCGGCGGAGGTGGCGGATCTGGGCCCGTACCGAGCAGCGAACGTATTTGTGCTGGGGGAGGGAAGGAAAATTGAAATGGGGGTGAAGGGAGAGGCAGCCCCCTCCCCTCCATCCCGGGGGTGTTTTCTCTCACACAACCCCCCCCCCCCAGGTCTCCATCTCAAGGAACGGCAGAGACGGTGCCAAGAGAAGGGAGGGCATGTGCGAGCGCCCGGGTGGGGAGCCCCCCCCCACGCTCTGGCCATCAGCTGCCAGCCTCTCACTGCAGGATCATGGGGAGGGGGGCGTGCTGAGGGCAGGGCCGTTTTTACCAAGGGGCACAAGGGGTGTGGTGCACCTGGGCCTCAAATTCTGGGGGGTGCCAAATGTATTGGGGGGGGGGAATGTATACCAGACCCTCTCAATTGGTGGCAGTGAAAAGCAATGGAGCGAAAGTGTCCTCCCCCCCCCCCCGGTCAAATATTCCCAACGAGTCAGGAAATAAAAGCGGTCATTTCTGCTGCGCCGTTGTTACAGGTGAGCGATTTTCCTCCCCCCAAAAAGGTCAACAACTTTGAGTTCGCCCCCCCCCAAAAATCTGGGGGTGGCTAAACTAAATTTGGGGGTGCCGGGCGGATCTTTGCACCCCAGCGGTGCATATGCCAAAGACGGCGCTGGCTGAGGGGGAGATGGGAGAGTCCAAGTGGGCCTGGGGGGCCGGAGGTCCGAGGGGCCTCTGATGTTGTATTCTATGCTGTTTTATGCTGTTTTTAAGTCGCATTTTAATCAATGTTTTATATTTGCTGTTAGCCGCCCTGAGCCCGGTTTTTAAACCAGGAAGGGCGGGGTATAAATAAAAAAAATTATTATTATTATTATCCTCCTCCCACCTGGCCAGGTCTCCAGGCCCCCTTGTGCCGCAGCAAGAGCCCCCCCCCACATCCCGGCCTCCTCACCTGCAGGATGTACTTGTTCTTCTCTTTCCCAGAACTGCAGAAAGAAAGAAAGAAAGAAAGAAAGAAAGAAAGAAAGAAAGAAAGAAAGGGAATGAGAGCCACGCCAGCAAGCCATCTCCATGCTCTCTGCCCCACCAGGGGATATGCAAAGGGGGCGACCCACAAGACCCCTTCCTCCTCCCCACGGGAAGTGGGGAAGAGAGAGGAAACCATGCTGAGGGCAGGAGCTGCGCCCTCCTTTCCTGACAAACCCCTGTGTTGCAAAAGAGAACGTCCACCATGTTTGGGCAACACGATGACCCTATACCTACGTAATAGATAATCTTTATAGAATTCTTTCTAACAATAACAAGTTCAAAATGAAATCTTAAGACTCAAAGCCTCTGAAAATCTTTAAATGAAGCGAGGTACCAAACTTTGTATGATGAAAGATAAGCTGTGAAGCTTTGTGTATTCCGCAAATATAATGTCCAACATTGAACAGAGATTCCGGATATTGACTGCTGTTTCGTAGATCTTTGTCAGCGTGGTGGGAGGATATAGAATTGTTTCAGGTAATAATGCAATCACTGTAATGATGTCGTCACACGAGCACTGCTCCACAGCAATTGATATTTTCATTCACATAGATTCATTCGAAGTAAGATGGGTTTATGAAACAATTCTATATTCTTTCAGAGACTTTGAGTCTAAGATTTCATTTTGAACTTGTTATTGTTTGAAAGAATTCTACAAAGATTGTCTATTACGCAGGTATATGGTCATCGTGTTGCCCAATCATTCTTGATGCCCTCCTTTCCTGGGCGCCCCCCCCCCCAGCTGGAGAAGAGCCCCTGCCATTTCCCAAGGGGCCCGGCTCTTGCTCTGCGCCCCCCCCCCCAGAAAGGCCGGTGGCTCCTTGCCTTGGTTGTGCTGGAAGCACCAAAGCGCCCCCTAGTGCTATGCTGGGGCACCGCAGCCTGTCCTGGAGGAGGGAGAGGGAAGAGCCCCCCCCCCCACTGGCAGGCTAGTTGTGGGGCACTGGGGGCTCACCTCTAGAGGGGCACAAGAAGCCAGGAGCTGGGAAGACCCACCGCCCATCTCTTGCAACCCCACCCAGTGGGAAAACGCACCCCCCAGCAGCAAAAAGAGCCTTGAGCTGAAGACCAGGCAGGGCTGGGGGGCACATGCCCACTCGGCCGGGAGGCTCACTGGACGGCTGCCCTTCAAAGGATGCCAACAGGCAGGTGGCAAACTCCCTCTTGCAGCCCAGAGCCCCCCCCCCCCCAGCCACGGAGGGGCCTGTGGAGTCGGCAACTCTGGGTAACTGAAGCAAGCGAGTCAAGCCATGCGCTACAGGGAAGGCAAACTTTCACTGCCCCCCCATCCCGCTGCCTCAAGTTTCCCTGGGACCCTGCAGGCCAGTCCAGTGCTATGTCCAGGGCCGGATTGAGGTTGGATGAGGCCCTCAGCTCCTGAAGGTAACGGGGCCCTTTCTATGCCCAGCTGTCCTTTGTCCAATAACAAATTGTCACAGTTTTTTGTGTTGAATGCTGTATTTTTCGCTCCATAAGGCGCACCTGACCATAAGACGCACCTAGTTTTTAGAGGGGGAACGCAAGAAAAAAAATTTTTTTTAAAGGGAGCGCTGGGCAGAGCCTGTCTGCATCCCGGCCTCTGCTCAGCGCTCCCTTTCACGAGCCGCGCGGAGCGTGTGGGCGGCGCTTGGGGGCTTTCCCCGCCTACCTCCCGCCTGCATTCGCTCCATAAGATGCACACACATTTCCCCTTACTTTTTAGGAGGGAAAAAGTGTGTCTTATGGAGCGAAAAATACGGTAGATGCTATATGGTCATTGATGGGCCTAAGAGGTATCTCAAGCCATTTGCACATTACAAAATATGTATTTTATCAAATTGTTATATTAACAGTGAAATACAGTTCAGAAGTATATTAATAGTGAAATAATTATTAAGCTCTAACTTAAAAAGATTTTTTATATTTTAGGGAGCAGGCTAGCAGGTGGGGCCCATGACTTACATCTTAGGAGCCTACCCAACACAAAACACTGTTGCTGTGTGTAGGTTTTATTTGCTTTTTATCTTATATTTTGGAAATGTACGTTCAGTGTTTTTTTTTCCTTTAAATTTTTTGGGGGCCCCAAAAAGAGAGTAGGGCCCTAAGCTACGGCTTGTTTAGCTTATACGTAAATCCGGCACTGGCTGTGTCCCTGAGACCACCTCCTGCCGCTGCCCCACAGACACTGCCTGGAGGTGCAAAGGCACAGTTCTGGCCCCCCAGCAAATGCACCACTGGAGACAGGGCCGGGCGAGGACTGGAACCTGCCCCAGGTCTGCCTGTGAGAGGCCCCCCCTTGACCACACTCCCCCCCGGTCGCCATCCTCACCTCTGTTTCTCCAGGCACAGCAAGACGTGCTCGTCAAAGCGGTAGTAATGGGCCCGTGAGTGGTCAAAGGTGGTGTAGGGCAGGCCCACGCGGTCAGAGGCTGAGTCTGGGGGGGGGGCGAGGAAGCAGTCAGGACCCCTGCGCCCCCTCCCTTTCCGCAAAGGAGGCCTGGCAACCCACCCCTCCTCTTCCTCCTCCTCCTCCTCCTGCCCCACACCCCCCAATTCAGGCTCCTTTGCTCCGTTCCCTGCTGGTGCAGGATGGGGGGGGGAGGTCAAAAGGAAAGCGCCCCCACCTTCGTTGCTGGGTTGGCTGACGCGCTCCAGGCCGCGGGATTGGTAGAACTCACGGATCCTCTTCTCCTCACCTGTGGGGGGGGGGAGAGGGGGGCAGAAGAGAGCCGGCCGTCGCTGGAGTCAGGGGGCAAATCTCGGCCAGCTCGCACTGACCCTCCAAAAGGGGGGAGAAGGATGGGGGGGGCTTGTCTCTTTCCTGTGCTCAGGTGGAGGCCCCTCCCAGGGTGGAGCCCCCCTGCAAGTGGAGGCCCTCCCAGCGTGGCCCCCCAGGGGCACCAGGGGCAGCAGGCAATGTCCCTCTTCTCCTCAGAGGCTGCTGCCCTGACGCCTGCCCTGGGGGGGGGGCCCAGAGGAGGCAGGAGGGCCCCCCCCGCTCCCTCCCCGCACTTACTCTCCTGCAGTCCCGGCACCAGCTTGTAGACGATGTCCTGCATGACGCGGTCCAGCTTGAGGTTGAGCAGGGGCTGCGTCTCGTGGATCTTGGTGCTGCACATGGGACAGTACTTGCTGGTCTGCAGGTACTTCACGATGCAGCTCTTGCAGACTGGGAGAGAGGGGGGGGCACCATGAGCCTCGGTCCAGCATATCTGAAGGAGCATTTCCACCCCCATCGTTCAGCCCGGACACTGAGGTCTAGTGCCGAGGGCCTTCTGGTGGTTCCCTCGCTGCAAGAAGCCAAGTTACAGGGAACCCAGCGAAATAAGAACATTATTCAGGGCCTTCCTGGTGGTGGCGCCCTCCCTGTGGAACGCCCTCCCACCAGATGTCAAAGAGAACAACAACTACCAGACTTTTAGAAGACATCTGAAGGCAGCCCTCTTTAGGGAAGCTTTTAATGTTTAACAGACAACTGTATTTTAATACTTTGTTGGAAGCCGCCCAGAGTGGCTGGGGAAGCCCAGCCAGATGGGCGGGGTATAAATAATAAATTATTATTATTATTATTATTATTAGGGGGTCCCACCGTGGCAACGCTCCAAAAGGCAGCCTGCCCATACTCCGCACAGAGCCCCTTTCCCTCTCGACCACAGGAATGACCAGGAGAGGAAACCCCATTGATCTTTCAGCTTCAGAGGTTCCCAAACCTTTCCGGCCCCCCCCCCCCCGAGCCGGGTGATCTTGCGCCCCTGGCAGAACTGTCCAGATTGCGCCCCCCCTCAAGCCACGGACAAATGAGCTCTTCTTTCCATCTCTCCTCCACCCCCACCCCCTTCCAGCCATTCAATTCACCCTCTATTTAAAACCATTTCTAATGAGGCAATAATCAATATTTATATTTGCGGACATACTTTTAGCCAATTTTGCACCCCCGCCCATCGGATGCGGCCCTGGCAGGGGCCCACCTCACCACTCCCAAGCTATGGCCCTGCCCCTCCCCCTTGGTTCCACAGGCTCATCCCCAATGCCCCCTACCCTATGAAAAGTGTCTTTCAAAACAGCAGTTTCCAAAACCCACCAAACAAGATAATACAGTAAAACCCAAAAGAGTTACAATTAGTTGAACGTTTCTTCAAAATCCAGCTGAAGCTATTTAGATTAATTCAATGAAACTGATGAATGTGTGGACCAGTGATACCAGTCTGACAGTTATTTAAACCCCCAGCATCCCCCCCCCCCCCGGTTGCCTCCTTGTCTCTTAGCACCCCCCCAGCACCCAAGGGCGCTACCACCTACGTTGGGAACCACTGGTCTCGCCCTCAGATGGCTGTTAACCAGAAGGTTGGGGGTCTGAGCCCCCACAGGGATGGCGCTTGGGCCAGACGACCCTCTGGAAGGGAATCCCCCCCTTCCTGCTTGTGCATGTCAGACACGGCCCCCCCCCCCAATCTCTGCTTTCCAGCGTTTCCCTCCAGGCAAGGAGGGGGAGCACCCCTTTCGCGGTTTCCGTGTGAGAGAGGAGGAGTTTGGGGTGGGGCGATTTTAACTTCAGAGCAACAACCTCCACCTGCACTGCCTCCCCCCCCCCATTGCTTTGGCCCCCCTACTGCTGGCATGTGGCCCCTGGCAGATTTCCTCCCAAGGGAAGGTGGCCCTCATCGGCAAAAGGCTGCTCCTTCTGGTCTGCCCCGCGGAGGACCTTAAGGTCCACAAATGACAAAAAGCCGCAAGGTGGTTCGATTGGTCTCAACCAGGGCCAGGGCCTTTTCAGTACTGGCCCCGACTTGGTGGAACTCTCTGCCACAAGAGATCAGGGCCCTGTGGGATTTGACATCTTTCCGCAGGGCCTGCAAGACAGAGCTGCTCCGCCTGGCCTTAGGTCTGGATTCAAGTCTGACCCTTATATTTCCCTCCCCTTATGGTCTTGATCTATCGGCTACATTTGGGGCTGCATTTTAACCTGTATTTTAAATTGGGTTTTCCCCCTTCCCCCTATTATGTTTTTACCGCAATTTTATTGGTGTTAGCCGCCCTGAGCCTGGCTCTGCCTGGGGTGGGCAGGGTATAAATAAAATTTATTATTATTTATTACTAACACACCTCTCTTTGGTCAGGAACATGCCTCCCCCCCGGTCCCCCCCCCCGCTTTCCCTGCTGCTACTCACAGGTGTGCAGGCATTCGGTGATGGTCGTGGCGTCGATGAAGTATCCGGCGCAAAGGAAGCAGACAATGTGCTCGTTCAGCTCCTTCATCTTCACCCTCACCTCCTCCTGGGGAGGAGTTAGACCATAGTTAGACCATGGGTGGGCAAACTAAGGCCCGGGGGCCGGATCCAGCCCAATCTCCTTCTCAATCCGGCCTGAGGACGGTGTGTTTTTACATGAGCAGAACGTGTCCTTTTATTTAAAATGCATCTCTGGGTTATTTGTGGAGCATAGGAATTAATTCATTTTTTCCCTTCAAAATATAGTCCGGCCCCCCACAAGGTCTGAGGGACAGTGGACCGGCCCCCTGCTGAAAAAGGTTGCTGACCCCTGGATTAGACAGATGGGGGGGGAGCTCCTCAGCCCCTCCCTCCCAGCCGGCCAAGAGAGCTGCTCCTCTCTCTCTCCAGAGAATTTTAGTTTGAGAAGGGACCCCCAGAGTCATCTAGTCCAGCCCCCTCCATTGCCAGTCCAATGCCCACTGCTCAAAGCCTTAGCCCCCCGTTTGAAAGACGGGTCCCAGGGGGCCCCCACCAGCCTGCTGGAGGGACAGCTTGACCCACCCTCTTATCCCTGTGCCCAAGTCCAGATCTAAAAGGCCCGAGTTCAAAACCCGCCTCTGCCATGGCCTCTTTCTCTAGTCTTGGTCAAATTTCCCTCTCTCCTTTAGACCCCCCTCCCCCGCCACAGAACAAGCCTCCCCAAATGAAGACGGGCTCCGTGAACATCCCTTTGCCCCTGCGGATCGTGTCCCGCCTCAAGTCCTCGGCCTTGCTTTTCCGCATCTCCTCTGAATATTGGGTTGACTTGATGCCGTTCCCAGAATGTCTGTTCTTGTGCCCTTATGCCCATTTAAACCGTCCCCACATCAGGCAGGGTGTCCTCATCTCCCAGGGAGACCCAAAGGGGTAGGATCCGAGTACAAGAGCAGCCCTCTCCCCTCAAAGCTGGTGGCCATGACTGCCTCTTGTGGCAGTGAGTTCCACCGTTTAACTCTGCGCTGTGGAAAGACGGACTTTCTTCCTCTGACCTACGAGAGAGGGAGGGATGCCAAAGTCCGGACCTGCCTGGTGACAGGTGAGCAGTTTGCCTGCCTTTGCCATGAGAGGCTTCTAGCGCCCAGTTCTCCCTCCAGTGGACGCCTGGCTCAACAAACTCCAACTCCCATCATTCCTGGCCACTGGCTGCGCTTGCTTGAAGTTGTAGTTCTGCAACACCTGGAGGCCAAAGATTCCTCCCAGCCGGCTCTGAAATCAAGAGCTGCCCTTTGGCCAGCTCAGTTTGGTGAGTCTCAGTTTGCCTGCCTGAGAAATGGGGCCAGCGACAACTTGCTCTTCTCAGGACAAAGTCTTGCGGCACCTGAAAGACCAGCACGTTTTGTCCATAAATGTCACTTCGTCCGGCAGCCCCTGAAGATGCCAGGGCAGTGCAATGGTTAAGCGTTGGACTGGGAATTGGGAGACCCGGGTTCGAGTCCCCCCTCACCCAAGAAACTCACAGGGTCGTTGTGGTAAAATGGAAGAGGGGAGAACCAAGAGCTCCTTGTGGGGAAGGTGGCATTTACAAACAGGAAACAAAATGAAATATCTGTAGGAAGCGAATCTGTCTGTGGCTGATCTGCCACAAGACTCTTTTTACAGCATCCAACCCATAATGCCACACTTTGAGGTAGCCAGGAAGGTGGCATGGGTGCTAATGGGGTTAAGGCAGGGCCAGATTTAGATTTTATGAGCCCTCAGCTCCTGAAGATAATGGGGCCCTTTCTATGTCCAGCTGTCCTTTGTCAGCAACAAATTGTCGCTGTTTTTTGTGTTGAATAGATGCTCTATGGTCATTGATGGACCTCAAGCCATTTGCTCAGCATCTTAAAAAGCAGAGACATCACCTTGCCAACAAAGGTCCGTATAGTTCAAGCTGTGGTTTTCCCGGTAGTGATGTATGGAAGTGAGAGCTAGACTGTAAAGAAGGCTGATCGCTGAAGAATGGATGCTTTTGAATTCTGGTGCTGGAGGAGACTCTTGAGAGTCCCATGGACTGCAAGAAGATCAAACCTCTCCATTCTGAAGGCAATCAGCCCTGAGTGCTCACTGGAAGGACAGATCCTGAAGCTGAGGCTCCAAGACTTTGGCCACCTCATGAGAAGAGAAGACTCCTGGAAAAGACCCTGATGTTGGGGAAGATGGAGGGCACAAGGAGAAGGGGACGGCAGAGGACAGGATGGTGGGACAGTGTTCTCCAAGCTACAAACATGAATCTGACCAAACTGTGGGAGGCAGTGGGAGACAGGAGTGCCTGGTGTGCTCTGGTCCAGGGGGTCAAGGAGAGGTGGACACCACTAAACGACTAAACAACAACAAAACCATACAACCAGTCCATGCCGAATGTCAGTGCCCTATATATAGAAAGGAACAAACCAGTGATATTTTAGGGAGCAAACTAGTAGGTGGGGCCCAGGACTTACATGACAGGAGCCTACACAACACAAAACCCTGTTGCTGTAGGTAGGTTGTATTTCATTTATTTTGTATCTTATATTTTGGAAACGGACATCCAGGTTTTTCCCCCATTAATTTTTTGGGGGCCGCAAGAGAGCGGGCCCCCAAGCCAGAGCTTGTTGAGCTTGTACGTAAATGCGGCACTGGGTGAAGGCAACGTCCTCAGAAACGCAGGCCCCCCGCATGGTGGTGGCAGGTGGCACCCGAGAGAAGGAAGGGGCCTGCGCAGCAGGGGGCTGGACTAGATGTCCCTCGGGGTTCCCTCCCAACTCTCCCATGCTGGGATCCTATGACCCCCCACAGGAGTGCGGCTCCTGCGCCTTTAACAGGGAAGGGACCCCACGGGGTCATCCAGCCCAACCCCAGAACTCCAGTCGGCGCCCTCGACCAATCAGGGGGTCAGAAGCCGAGGGGACTCTCCTTAGCTCCGCCCCCTCTGCGCACGCTGCCGCGGCTCCCCTGCTGCGCATGCGCCCCGGCCCCCGGCGCCCCCGCTTGGCCCCCGCTTCCCCGTCCCCGTCCCGCCGGGGCCTGACCTCGTTGCGCAGCGGGTCCATCTTGTAGACGGCCTGGAGCTGGTTGCGGAGCCGCATCGCGATGGCCATCGGGCCCCCCGGAGGAGGAGACGCCATCTTGGAGCCGCCTCGCCCACTTCCGGGTTGGCCGGGGGCGGGGCCTGTCGCCGCGGGGAGCGCGCGGGGCACGCCGGGAGTTGTAGTTGGCGGCCGGGCGAAAGCGAGGGAGGAAGGAGGGGCGACTCTGGCTCCGCCCTCGTTAACCCCTCCTGCGCCGGGCGAGGTTCCCGCTCTGGCCACCAGGGGGAGCAGCCAGGCTCGACGGGGCGGGCGGGCGGGCGGCGCCGGAGGATCCCCGTCGGATCCGCCCGAAGGAGACGCGGATCTCCAGCCCGGAGGAGAGGGGTGGCGGGAGAGCCCCGAAGGGCCGCCCCGTCGAAGAAGGCCCGAGCTTGTTCTGCGCTGCTCCAGGGGCGAGCCCGGAAGGAAGGATCCCGACGAAAAGAAATTATGCTCCGTCAAAATAAATTAAAAAATGGTCCAGTAGCACCTTAAAGGGTAAAGGGACCCCTGACCATTAGGTCCAGTCGTGGCCGACTCTGGGGTTGCGGCGCTCATCTCGCTTTACTGGCCAAGGGAGCCAGCGTACAGCTTCCAGGTCACGTGGCCAACATGACTAAGCCGCTTCTGGCGAACCAGAGCAGCGCACGGAAACGCCGTTTACCTTCCCGCAGGAGTGGTACCTATAGATCTACTTGCACTCAGACATGCTTTCGAACTGCTAGGTTGGCAGGAGCAGGGACAGAGCAACGGGAGCTCACCCCATCATTGCGGGGATTCGAACCGCTGACCTTCTGATCGGCAAACCCTAGGCTCGGTGGTTTAACCCACAGCGCCACCCGCGTCCCTTAGTAGCACCTTAGAGACCAACTAAGTTTGTTCTGGGTATAAGTGAAGAAGTGTGCATGCACACGAAAGCTTATGAGATTAAGAGTAGTAGTAGTAGTAGTAATAATAATAATAATAATAATAATATATTATTTATACCCCACCCACCTGGCTGGGTTTCCTCAGCCACTCTGGGCGGCTCCCAACCGAATATTAAACGCAATACAGCATTAATCTTTAAAAACTTCCCTAAACAGGGCTGCCTTCAGATGCCTTTTAAAAGTCAGATACTGTAGTTCCTTATTGCCTTGACATCTGGTGGGAGGGTGTTCCACAGGGTGGGCACCACCACCGAGAAGGCCCTCTACCTGGTTCCCTGTAACTTCACTTCTCACAATGAGGGAACCACCAGAAGGCCCTCGGAACTGGACCTCCGTGTCCGGGCTGAACGATGGGGGTGGAGACGCTCCTTCAGGTATACTGGACCGAGGCTGTTTAGGGCTTTCAAGGTCAGCACCAACACTTTGAATTGTGCTTGGAAACGTGCTGGGAGCCAATGCAGATCTCTCAGAACCGGTGTTATGTGGTCTCGGCGGCCGCTCCCAGTCACCAGTCTAGCTGCCGCATTCTGGATTAATTGCAGTTTCCGGGTCACTTTCAAAGGTAGCCCCACGAAGAGCGCTTTGCAGTAGTCCAAGTGGGAGATAAGCAGAGCATGCACCACTCTGTAGGAGGGCATGGAGGGCCTCATCCTGCGTACCAGATGGAGATGGTAGACAGCTGCCCTGCACACAGAATTGACCTGCGCCTCCATGGACAGCTGTGAGTCCAAAATGACTCCCAGGCTGCGCATCTGGTCCTTCAGGGGCACAGTTGCCCCATTCAGGACCAGGGAGTCCTCCACACCCACCTGCCCCCTGTAGAGTCTCGTGCTCGACCATCTGAGCTATCCTGAAGAGGCAGATTGGCACTGAGTGGTGGCCGCCCTCACAAGGGAAGCCGAGGCCTTGTCCGGCACGTGGTGCCACTGGGAATTGAGGACCGCCTGCCTAGTCACCACCCTGGCATCTGCCAAGCCCTGGCTTCTCCTTGGCACCCTATTGCAGAAGCCATCTCTCTCTCAGGCCTGGCAGCCTCTGCCCTCCTCCTCCTCGCTGGGGGCTCCCCAGGCGGCACTTGAGACCCGGATTGCAGCGCTTAGCCAGCCCCCCACTAAGGAGCCCCCCCCCCCGCGCCAGCCAGGCAGCGCTCCTGCTTTGCATTAGTCGGCCCTGATCAAATCAGCCCCATTAGCCTGGCTCCAGGCAGCGGAGCTGGCAGTGCCATGGGGCGTGGGGAGGGGGTCTGTCTCATCTCCTCCTGGCCCACTCCTGGCCCAACTCAGCCCTGGGGGAGGGGGCTGCTCCTCTCCCTCCCCACCTCCACTCTCCCCCTCCCCAAATTTTTATTCATTTTATAACACAAATAAAAAACGCAAACAGAAAAGACAAACAATACAAACAGATTCTTGTCTTATCCTTATTTTCCTAAACATTGTTAAGCGGGCTTCCCCAAGTCCCACTTATCTGATTTTCATTTTACTTCATCTTTAGCAGTTTACATATATCATAATTTCTAACCACCTTTTTTTTTTTAATCACACTTAAAATAACTTCACATTTTATCTTACAAATAATACTATTTTAAAATACCCTATCTTCTAATTCTAACCCTACAGCCTATATCCACTTCCAAAGCTATTCTAAGATTTAAATATTAACATATTTTTTCAAATATTCCTTAAACTTCTTCCAGTCTTCTTCCACGTCTCTTCTCTCTGTTCTCAGAGTCTCCCAGTCAGTTTGGCAAGCTCCAGATAGTCCATCATCTTCATCTGCCATTCTTTGATAGTTGGTAAATCTTGTTTCAACCAATTCTTTGCTAACAATATTCACGGAGCTGTTGTGGCATACAGAAAAAAGTAACATCCTTTTTGGGGATTTCACTCCCCACTATACCAAGTAAAAGGGCTTCTGGTTTTTTAATAAATGTGTTTTTCAGCACTTTTTTCTCCCCAACTCCGCTTTGGGGAGGAGAGCAACAACACCAGACCCAACTGGAGTCTCTCTGCCCGCCTCTCCCCCAACCCAGGGCTTCCTCTTGCCAGCCTCCAGTGCCCTCCAAGGCAACACCTGGGGGCACCTTCCTCTTCAGCCTCCATGCCGATGTGAAGATGGAGCCGCTGGAGATCACTGAGGAAATCTTCTTAATTTAATTAACCATCTTTTTAGGCTGCCTTTCTGGGCAAATGCCAACCCATGCGCATTTATTTCATGGATGAAATAAATGCGCATCCAAAGTGCCATAAAACAAAAGACAAAACAGCCCCAAATTTAAAAAGGGCCAAACAATTGAGTAAAAAGTTGTATCTATCTTTAAAAAATACCAAAGTGGTTTGCAGTAATATCTCTATATATAAAAAAACACATACTAATTTAAAATCAGAGAAGATCAGCTATTGTGGAACAATGTTTTCTTAATTGCCTCTACAATCCTGGCAGCGTAGAAAAGATTTCAGAAGGTGCTTCAAGGTTGAGACAGAAGGCTGGATCTCCTCTGGCAGAGTTTTCCATAGTAACAGGGCTCAGGACGACCCTAAATGCTCTATTTCATGTTGAAATGAAATGAAATTTATTACGGTCCCAGACCAGCTTCACATACTGTACCAAGCGAACATAAAGCACAATAGAATTAAGTTTGAATTAACAATCGAATGTAACAATAAACAATACGAATACGACAGCCATTAGAAATGTGGTTCAGGTCTTGGTCTCTAAAATATGATCTAGAGTTTGCATCTGAGGCCTTAGTCTTTATAATAGCACAGCTTGTTCCCTGAGTTTTATGGCAGCCGCACAAAATTTGGCCACTCTTAGCGTGATCTCTGGATCCTTATCCTCCCTCAGGGATTTTGATGTCAAATGAGCCTCACCCTGCAAATGACCCACAGGCCTGGAGGGCCAGCTGGGAAAGAGACCGTCTTCAGGGCCTTCAGGAAAGGCTGCCGTGCAGAGAGTTGGCATAGGTCCAGTAGCAGGGAGTTCCATAGCCCCAGGGGCCACCACAGAAGAGGACCTCTCTCTCATGGCCACCCACCTGACCAGCCCAGCAGAGGGTCGCACCAGCAGAGCCTCTGAAGCAGATAGTCCAGTGTGGGCAGCCCAGTAAATAGCTCGGAAGCAAATTGCTTAGGGCTGTAACAGTCAGTGCTTGGAACCGGGCCTAGAAACAGACTCGTAACTCGTGCAGCTGCTTTTTTCTAGGACAATAAAAATATATATTTGAATATATTGTGCAATTATTTTCCAGTTCCTGATTGCCTGACATGGCTTGGTTTGAAAGAGTTGGGCATTGAAGAACTCCGACTGAGAGCATCTTGTATTTATTGTGGGTTTAGAGAAGCCCTACCAGACATGGGGGGGGGGTATTGTTTTAAGTATTTATTTGTGCTTTTATTCTGTATTTTTACCTTGTGAACCGCCCTGAGATTTTCGGATGAAGGGCAATGTCTAAATTTAATAAATAAATAGTAATAATAATAATTTATATGAAAATAAAGCAGAGGTTTGGTATTGGGGGGGGGGAGAGAGAGAAAATGTCCCTCAGCCCAGCAAATGGCTCCTTGAACTGGTTTGGGCAGACTGTGAGTGTCCTTTTAAAGGTGTTGGGGGGTGTGTGTGTGGATGGGTTTGTTTTGTTCTTGCCCTTGTTTTTCTTATGTATCTTGTGTTCTTATTTTGCATTTTTATACTGTGAACCAACCTGAGATCTTCAGGTGAAGGGTCGTCTTCTTCTTCGATCCCTCGTATCCGAGTCAGATTGTCTTCCATAAACACGGTTTTAACAATGAGTCCGTAAGTGACTGTGGAGGTCAATTCTGGATCCACATGTCCTTCCGCAGTGGGGACACTGGTTTCCAGGTGGGAGTTGATCACAGTGAAGGTTTGCCTTCCTCTTAGCACATTTCTCCCTTGCGTTCTGAGTTCAAGTGTCTTCAAAGCCCACGACACCTTTGGTAAAGGCTGTTCTCCAACTGGAGCGCTCGCAGGCCAGTGTTTCCCAGTTGTCGGTGTTAGAATCATAGAATCATAGAGTTGGAAGAGACCACAAGGGCCATCGAGTCCAACCCCCTGCCAAGCAGGAAACCCCATCAGAGCACTCCTGACATATGGTTGTCAAGCCTCTGCTTAAAGACCTCCAAAGAAGGAGACTCCACCACACTCCTTGGCAGCAAATT